GCGTCGCGACGTCTCCTCCAGATCTAAAATTACCAGCAGCCGAAGACGATGCATTCGCGGTCCGGTGAGCCGTGCGAAAACGAGCCACCGCGGGCTTACGCCCTAATACAGCCCCCTATTTTTGGACGTCGCGCTGACGCCACACTCGGAGACAACTGTTCGGGGACGAGAAAATCGACCATTTTCTTTCTCCTCCTCCTCGCCACCCTCCTGGCCGAGAGAAAGGGAGGAATTTTGTCGTTTCGCCTTATTGTCGAGAACTGAATCTCTGTTCTCTTCGTGATTCTTTTTATTTATTTTTTTTTTTTTACGAATAATTATCGAGTGAAAGTATAAATTTTGAACGGAAACGCGGGTGAAGGAGATCGAGAATCTAAGATTAAAAGAAAATTGGATTTTGGAAGGTTTATATATGTATATGTATGTAAAATAGAAGAAAAATCGTTTTAATTAACTCTTTTGTCTATCTGGAAATTTTAATTCCTCTTTTCACTTCACATTTTTCAAAACCATAATAATGAGATTTCACCTCGCAAGATATTAAAGCGGCCTTTCTACCATTTCCTCGATATTATGCAATTCGGTGATTAAGATTCTCCTCTTCAAAATGTATTCAAATCTCTCTAATGTATTCGCTACGTTTCAGTAATAACAGTGGAGAAAATTAAATGAATAATTTCATTGCGTTTTATTTATGCATGACGAATTTCTTCGCGAGTTAAATACAAACAAATTTCTTTCTTTCTTTCTTTCTTTCTTTTTTTAACCAATCTTTATAGAAAAATTATCTCGGATCAATCGATTAAAATTTATTAAAATATTTATATAAAAGGAAGTTGATATTGCTTCACATAGAATGACAATGATCGAGAACATTTCCAAACGAATTAAACGAGGAATAAAACGATCATCCGCTTCAAGTTCGTTTAATTAAATTCCAAGATTAACGCGTATAAACGAAAAAATCCAACGAAAAAATATTTTATAAAAATTTATACGTAATTCGAAAGATATTAAAATCTTCGAAATCTATGAAAAAGAGAGAGATCTCGAATTAACGCTCTTATACGATTAAACATCTTTTTTAAACGGGTTGCGTGCCGTTAATTTCTCCTCCTCCTCCTCCTCTTCCTTCTCCTCTTCTTCTTTCAATAATTAAACATTAATATTTCCTTTGGAAAAGTGTCGGATTAAATCTTGGAAAGAAAAAGGGAAGAGCAAACTTCTGTTTTGAACGGAGCGAGGAGGGTGGGGGGAGGTCCCATTAACAAGTCAAAAGTTGCGCGTTTCATTAAAAGGAAACTCGAAGGCCATTTCACAGTGATTTTCTAACTGCACAGAAACACCGAAACAAACTCTCCTCGCTCGATGTGTATCGGGTTACGAGTTCGTTGGTGAAAATAGCCTTTGGTACCAACTTGGTTAAGGCACGAAGCAACCGAGAGACAAGAAGTTCGTTTTCAAAAGCGGTTTTCGGTCGTCCGATGCTCCGA